ACTGATTTAGTTTTAGCCACCACTGAAGACGATGTTTTGCTACCAGAAGAACACTCTTGGGTTGCTGCTGCTGATTCTCACGGCGGTGGTGGTCTGTTCGGTTTTAGGTAAGAGATTTTCTTCAGTTTTGAAAGAGTAGCAAATGTTCTAACAATGTTTTCCCATTTTCAGCGAAAGAGCTCTGCGAGGAAGACCCGAAGTTCAAGGCGTACGCCCACGAGCACCTGAAGAAGCTCGAGGCGGACTTTCACACTACGAAGACGAAGGCGGAGAGTCGAGAAAGGGAGCTGAAGCGCCAGGGCGGCAGCCAGCTGGAGGACTTTGAGAAGGAGTACCACAACTTTGTGGCGAACTACCAGGCGCTGATGCAGCTGATGGACGCAAAGCCGTCCTTCTGCGAGCGGGTCATCGGCGAGCTGGAGCACGCCATCAAGTACTTTAATGAGCACTTTCTTCCGGAGACCGTGGTGCCCACCACTACCACCAAGTACTGATTGTGCTTGGACTTGGGCTTTGTTTGGATTGAATTAATAAAAAGGTGTTTCTTTGACTGAGAATTTCGAAATCGCCGCAGATTTCTGCGATTTGTAAAAATGTTGCCTGGAAACTTTTCTGCTACTGTGGAAAGATTGCCCATGTGTTTTTTATTTGGGTGAACGAAAAAAACAGTTTTGTTTTCTTCTGTGCGACTTTGGCCGTCGTTCTTTTTCTTCGGCTTCTGATTACCACGATCACCACCTCCATCACCTTTGTCGAGCACATCACCTCATCAACGATGTTCCTCGTCAGATCGGGCTGCTGGACGCAGCACCTTCGACGACAGCTGCAGCCGGTCTGCATCGGCAACCTTCGAGCGACATTCTTCTCCACAAAGTCGACCGAAGAGGATATCAGCATCCTGAAGAATGCTGACCATTCTTCACCACCTCCACCACCATCATCATCATCCGACCCCCTAGCAGGCATCTACTCCCAGGCCGACGTCCCCCAGCCGCTGGAGCACCTGTCCGCCTTCCCACCGCTGGAGCTGACGAATATCAACACTTCGATCACGCCGGTGCGCGAGGTCTGGGTGGAGAACATGTCGACGCCGCACTCCATCAAGCTGGCCATCCTCCCGCTGCACCCTGACGTCTGGTCGGCCTTCCCCCGGCCCGACTTCATCCAGGAGAACCACAAGTGGCAGACGCTGTACAAGCACGTCGACTGGCGGTGGATGCCCACGCGGGCGGAGATCAAGGGCACCACCCGCAAGCCCTGGCCGCAGAAGGGCATGGGCCGGGCGCGCCACGGCGATCGCAAGGCGCCCCAGTTCAAGGGCGGCGGCTGGGCGTGCGGCCCCCGCGGCCCGCGCACCTACTTCTACATGCTGCCCTGGCACAAGCGCGTGGGGGGCCTGCTCTCCACGCTCTCCGTCAAGTTCGCCCAGAACGACGTCCACGTGGTGGACTCCTTCGCCTCCTTCCCTCTGGAGGGCACCACCGCCCACCTGGAGGAGCTCNCCAGAACGACGTCCACGTGGTGGACTCCTTCGCCTCCTTCCCTCTGGAGGGCACCACCGCCCACCTGGAGGAGCTCTGCGAGGCGCGCGCCTGGGGCCCCAGTGTCCTCTTCGTCGACCGGGTGCCCATTGAGCGGGCGCCGCTGGCCACCGTGGACGGGGCCCATCTCTTCGAGGCGACAAAGGGCGTGACGCACATCAACGTGCTGCCGGTGTACGGGCTGANACCGGGTGCCCATTGAGCGGGCGCCGCTGGCCACCGTGGACGGGGCCCATTTCTTCGAGGCGACAAAGGGCGTGACGCACATCAACGTGCTGCCGGTGTACGGACTGAACGTCTTCTCGATGCTGAAGCACGAGACGCTGGTGCTCACCGTGGAGGCGCTCCGGGAGATCGAGGCGAAGCTGCTGCACCAGCTGCGGCGCGTCGACCTGAAGAACGTCATCGGCCAGAGCCAGCCGTATGGCATCTCACGAATGTAACAAGTGTGTGGGTAATGATGTAATTTAGGTACAAGTGAGAAAAGGAGAAGGAGAAGAGGACTTATAAACAGAAATTGTGAGAAGTTGTGTTTGATGTNTCACGAATGTAACAAGTGTGTGGGTAATGATGTAATTTAGGTACAAGTGAGAAAAGGAGAAGGAGAAGAGGAATTATAAACAGAAATTGTGAAAAGTTGTGTTTTATGCGTTTTCTACGTCTCATCGAGCCGTCGCTTGACGCCCATTAGAGCTTCGGAGTTGCTGGCGGCGGCGGAGGCTGTGTTGGATGAGGAGGACTGTTGCTGCAGCATGTGGGCGGGCGTTTTCACCGCAAACACCGTCTTCGTGAGCATGGACGAGGAGCTGGCGCTGGGGCGAGGCCTTGCCCCCTGCCCCATCATCATCTGGCCCTTGGCATTGCCCTGGGCCTGTCCGCCGATGTGGCTGCCACCACCAGCGCTGTTGCCAGTGGAGACCAGGCGGAGGTTGGGCGCCACCAGGCTGTAGCGGTCTGCGGGCAGACGCATGCCATTGTGTGACTTGATAGGCGGCAGCGGTTGGTTGTTCTTGTTGCGGGCAATCTCGAGGAGGGCGTCCCGCGGCGGCGGCCCCACAAAGGCGCGCTCCATCTGCATCTGCACGGCGATGCCGACGTCATCGCTGTCGATGTTTTTCTTCTTCGCGTACGAGGAGAAGAGCTGGGCATCCTCGAGGACACGTGACGCGTAGCCTGAAAATAGAAAGAGAGATGGTTAGAAGAAGATTAGACAGGTGAGGAAGAAGAAGAAGACTCGCTTTCGGTCATCATACGTACGGTAGGCAAACTCCACCAGTTGCGGAAGGACACGAGGCTCGTACTCGGTGATGCCCATCTCCTTGAGGATGGCCGCCACCACCTGGGTGTCCTTTGGCGTCGACTTGCCCGGCGGATTGGCGGGCACTTGCTGCTGCTGAGCTTGTTGCTGGGCTTGCTGTGCCTGAAGTTGATTCTGTTGTTGTTGCTGCTGCTGTTGCGCCTGATTTTGGTTCATTGTGCCGCCGATGGTGTTGCTGTTGGAGGTGGACGTGGAGTTGTGCTGGCCACCAGGCTGAGCGGTACTGCTGCCAATCATTGCCCCACCACCACTAGCTCCAGCACTACCAGCGGAGCTGCCTGTGGACGCCGTGGAAACCATCGCGCTGACTGTCTCGCCGTGGTTGTTGTTGTTGTTGCTGTTGCCGACGCTGCCTCCGCCGCTTTTGTTGCCTGTTGTTGTGGTCGTCGTGGAAGTCGAATTTGAACTGTTTGCCGCCGCCGCTGCCTGCTCCTCCAGTTCGGCAGCCGCCGCGGCGATGTTCGCGGCGATCGTCTGCGGACTGAGCTTCATTGCGGATTCGGGATTCTATCTTTCTTCTTCTTCTTTACCTTAGCATCGCCCAAGAATGCAATGTTCTATATTATTCTTTGCGATAACATCGCCGCTGCGCTCAAGGCAGACTTGAGTGGAAGAGAGAGAGAGAAGGCAACAACAAAAACTGTATCTTTTACAGTGCAAGTCGCTATTTTGACAGCGGCGGCAGCAGACAAGGCCACTCTGCACACCTCCACCTGCCGCAACTTTTTACCTTCAAGTCCCTCCACCTCCAATTGTCTAGGGCCCGGGGAAAGTCCTTTTTCTCAAAGAAATGTGAGATTTTCCTACTTCCACTTCTCCCTTGTTTATTGCTCCTCCTCGAGTCCTTCATCCTCCTGCTCAGCAGCAGCAGCAGACTCAATAAATCAGATTAGCTCGGCGACGGCGGCAGATGCGCGCCGGCCACCAAGGCTGCTGCGGTGGTGGTGCCTTCTCTAACAATTATTTTTTGTTTTCCCTCTCTCTCTCTCTCTCTCTCTTCCAAAATTGCTCCCCGGTGAGGCAAGCCAGCCAGCCAGCCAGCAAGCAAGCCACCACCATAGCAGTCACAGCATTCATCGAGAGGAGATCACGCCGCCGTCGTCGTCTAAGTCGCGCAATCAATAGCACTAACACTAGCTAACACTGGCTAGCTCTAGTGGTGGTGGTGGTGGTGGTGGTGGTGCCGTCTGTTCGCCAAGAGTGCGCGCGCCGTGATAAGTCGAAGGCAACGCAACGGTGAATCCTTCACCTAGTCTCCACTGCTGATGATGAGGAGCACTTATGAGTGCCATTACTTTGTAAGCTTAGTAACTCGGAGGAGGAGGAGGGTGTTGCCCGACGACGTCTGCTTCCGCTGAGGGTCGGATAAGCAATCATCACTGCTTCCGTTGATTCTTTAAATTTTTGCTTTGTCGTTAAAAGCGGACGCTACCGGTTCATACTGGAGCGCCATCAGATGGAAAATCGAACTGCGTGTCTAAGCTGGTATACCTGTCTTTTGTCGAGTCACAATTTTTCTTTTATTGTTTTAAAAAAAGAGAACTTCTGGGCCACTAATCTTTAGAATTAAATAAGCACCACCGCTATTCTACTAGCGCTAATAATGACGCAATCAAGTGGACCGAAAAAATGGTAATTAAGGTCGAAGGACGGTGACGCCGCCGCTGCCGTCGCCGATCACAGGCACACGTCCTCTACGAATGGCGGACCGCTGCTGCTGCTCTCTCTCGTTTGCCTTTTCTCGCTCTGGGAGGAGCAAATCCCTGTGCTCTCTCTCTTGGTTTGGCTACTTCGTTCTCTTTCTATCTCGTTTCTACTTCTCTCTCTCCGTTCTTGCTTTGTCCGCGAGTCTCGTCGTGTCAGCAGTGCCAGCAGCAGCAGCAGCGCAGCCCGATTTTGGTTGGTTCAGGCTGACTGTGAGTGTGTGGACTGAACGCACAGAGTTCCTCTCTGCCTTTTCTGTTCTCTCTCTGCAGAGCTCAGCGCTAGCCTCTAGCCTACTCAACACTGAACACTGCTTTCTACGTTCTCTGTGTCTCTGTTACTCTGTGACTGTGCTCTCGCCCCTCTCGCCCAGTGGTCGTCTGTGTGTGTGTGTGTGGTAGTCTCGGGTACCAGCGCCAGGAGTGTGGTGGTCCTAGGAGAAGAAAGGCAGGAAGGCGCCCAGCTCCTAGAGTGATTCAGCAGCAGCTACAGTGGCAGTGCATCACCTCATCAGCAGCAGCAGAACAACACACCAGCTCGACGACGACGACCACTGCTGCGCCCAGCACAGAACAGAAGCAGCAGCACTGCAACAAGCCCAGCGCGCGGCCATCTTCCTCCTCAGCAGCAGCAGTCGTCGTCGACGAGGATCTCTCTTTCTGGCCAGCCTGCCTGCCTGCCTGCAAGTGCACTACGCTTTAACTTCGTCTGAGCAGACTACTATTGCAGCAGCAGCAGCAGCACCACCACCACCGCCAGCACCGCCAGCAAAGGCACACAGCAGAGGCAGCCGAGCCGATCAGAGCTCTCTCTCTCTCTCTCTCTCTTTGTGGTAAGTGGCCCCGATTGCGTCGGTCCACCTTCCTTCTTCAGCGCTCTAACTCCCAATCAGCTCTTCCTAACCCCTTGCGTCTCTCCCCGGTGTGTGCAGCAGCAGCAAGTCAACAATAGCCTGTACCTCAGGACCGACCAACTCACTGATTATCTCGCCTACATCTCCACGATGGATTTCTAAGGCTGCCTGCAAGCACTCTCCAAACTGCGTGTTTGGATAGGCAGCCGCTGCCTTCTGTGTGCTCGCTCCTTCTTCTCCTTCTCCGTCTCACTTCTTCCTTAGTTCCAGCTCCTTCATCGGCTCCCCAGCAGGCCTAGGTCTTCCCCTTGCACCCTCATCACAACATTAGCCAGCACTACCATCATTACCACCATTATCACCACCACCATCATCACTACTACTACTTCCTTCTTCATCATCCCCATCATCCTCATCATTGTGATTCACCACTACACAGCAGTCGTCTTTCAACATCACTCTCTTCTCAGCAGCACTCATCTCTCGACTGTTCGACACACCCCCTCCTGTAACTTAATCCGTAAGTGGAAGCGCCTGCTTAAATAAAAAAGTCCCTTCTGCCGCCCTTTGCCGCCCAGGTGTGCACTGCAGCTACACTTTTTGGTTTTCAAAAAAAACTAAACATCACATGAACACACCCACAGTTCGGCCTACTAACTCTTTCTATTTCAGGAACTGAAAACATCCGCCGCCGCCGCCACCATCATGGAGGTTCACGTAGCAAAAAAGTTTCGCCTGGGCCATAAGATTGGCTCAGGTTCATTTGGAGTCATCTATATAGGTAGGGAATCCTGTCGCCTTTCGGGCACTCGCTCTTTGCACGCGTTCATTGAATTTCACTCAATCATTTCCAATTAACTCACACACACACTCTTCCTCACTCTCTTCCTCACTTACACTCCTCACTAGGTACGAATATTGGCACGAAGGAAGAGGTGGCCATCAAGCTCGAAGATGTCAACTCCAAGCATCCTCAGCTGCACATTGAAAGCAAATTCTACCGAGTGATGGCCGGTGGGAGTAAGTTTACCTTGCATCATTACTCAGCACATTTGTGTGTTTGTGTCGTGAATGCTCACACACACCACAAACCTTGTTTGCTCATGCATTTCTAATTCCCCTTTGCGTTTTTGTTTCCTCATCCACCACCATCACCAATACCACCTCATTCACTCCAGTCGGCATCCCTCAGCTAAAGTGGTTCGGCACTGAAGGCGACTACAACATTATCGTCATGGACCTGCTCGGTCCTAGCTTAGAAGATTTATTCAATTTTTGCAATCGCAAGTTCACTCTCAAGACTGTCCTCCTGTTGGCCGACCAACTGGTAAGTGTTTTGTTTCCATAGAAGTTGTTTCAGCGTTGAAAGCGTCATCACTTCCTAACTTTTTGTTTTTCACCACAACCGCAACCATCACTGCAACCATCATCATCATCATCACCACCATCACCACCCTCATCGCCGATGATTAGATAAGTCGAATTGAGTTTATCCACAGTCGCGATTACATTCATCGTGATATCAAGCCAGACAACTTCCTAATGGGCCTTGGCGACCGAGGGAATCTTGTATATATTATCGACTTTGGCCTTGCCAAGAGATACCGTGAACCAAAGTCTCGGGAGCACATTCGCTACCGAACTGGCAAGAATCTGACTGGCACTGCCCGATACGCCAGTCTGAACACTCATCTCGGCATTGGTAAGCGGCAGCAGCAGCAGTTGCAGCAGTGACTTCTTTATCGTTTGTTGTACTTACGCACTTTGTCTTCATTCCATTTCCCATCCCATTGCAGAACAAAGTCGTCGTGATGACCTCGAGTCACTGGGGTACGTTCTGATGTACTTCAACCGCGGTTCGCTGCCCTGGCAAGGCCTGAAGGCGAACACCAAGCGGCAAAAGTACGAGCGCATTAGTGAGAAGAAAATCTCCACCACCCTGGAAGACCTCTGTCGCGGCTACCCGGCCGAGTTTATCGCCTACCTAACCTACTGCCGTGAACTTCGCTTCGACGAGGACCCGGACTACGTTTACCTGCGCTCCCTCCTGCGGGTCCTCTTTCACCGCCAGGGCTTCAGCTACGACTACGTCTTTGACTGGAACATTTTGAAATACGTAAGTAAACACTTTCACATCAGTGTGTTGCACTCCCTCGCTCTGATGCTGTCGCAGTTGTTGTCGTCCTGGCAACGACCACTGTGAAGTGTGTGTGCTGTAAACACCAGCACCAACCCCGAATGATGCTCTCTTCTAACTACTAAAATCTCCTCTCCTCCTCTTCTTTATTTACTCTCGCCCTACCTGCCTAGGGCTCCAACTGGACCAACAACCAACGCCAACAGCCGACGCAGCGAACGCAGGCGCAGGCGAATCACCACCTGGCGGGCAACTGCTGCAACATTACTCCAAATGTGATTGGGAGCAACTCCAATGCGGCGGCCCTCGCCTCGAGTCAGCTCAACTCGAACGCCATGCAGATGAAGGCCGGAGGAGGAGGAGGAGGGCCGGCCGGGCCCAGCGGCGGCGGCGGCAATGGCGGAGCAGGGGGCGGCGGCGTCTCGCACGCCATGGTCGGCGGCCCCAGCTCCTCCCACCACATGCACCAGGTGCCGCTGAACCTGACGCTGAAGGGGGTGATGAACTCGGTGGGGCGGGCGCCGAACGCCACCGCCCAGCCTGCCAGTGCCAACATGCAGGGCGCCGGAGTGGGAGGCAATGGGGGCGTGGTCGGCGGCGGCGACCTGCACTGCGCCTCGGGCGGAAACGCCAGCCTTCCGGGCTCCTCCAACGGCAAACAGCAGCACAGTTCGCTGTTTCGCAAGCCGCAGAATGTGCACATCCTGCCGCCGACGCACTCCTCCATCCGCAACCTCACCTACCACCAGCTGTCGAACAAGGGCTCGCACTGCAACGCCACGGCCACCTTCAACGCCAACGGAGCGCTGCCGACGAAGCAGTGACGGAAGTAGCTGAATGGACGCGGATGGAATAACACTTTGGTCGAGAGGCTCTGCTGCCTCTTCTTCCTCCTCTCCTCTCACACACACTCAACTAGGTCCACTTTTTATCTATTCTTTCCTTCCACTGTCTCCCCTCTCTCTCTGTATCATAGCCACTGTCAATACTTCTGTCAGCGAATATCTCTCTCTCTCTCTTCTGTGACACGCTGTGCACCCCCTTTCATCTCTCGCTCTCTCCCTGTCAGCATCCCACACACCCAAACAGAGGAGGCGCCAACTACTGCTGCTAGGAAGTGCCCACAAGTGCTGCACTCGCTTGCTCTTTGTGGGGGCTCTCTCTGTCAGTCTGTTGACCGAACCTGTTTGGGTCAGTGATCGCACACACACACACGCCCACATCACACTACTGATTAAGCTGCACTCCTATCTCTTGCTATACACACAAACACACTCTCTGTACATACGATAACGGTTTGACATTTGGTGTAGCTTGATCAGCACACACTTCCACCACCACCACCAGGCCATCATCAACCCAGCCCGCGCGAGACACACTTTCTCCTCTCTCCTCGTCTTTTCCCACAGTTCGTCTCCGTATTTTGTAGTGCTTCATCAGTGTGTGTGTGTG